CTTTTGTCAAAAGCTCGTAAAACGATGACCGAGAACAATGAATTTGAATATTTTTCCTTCAAACAACGATACTTTTTGTCATAAAAGGTGAACCAAAACGTCTTTGTAGCTTTTCGAAATCATCCTCTGTTGATCTTACAATTCCCCTGACTACAGATAATGCAGCAGAATGGTAGCTGCTCAAATTCATTTCTTTCTGACTTAGTCTCAGGTTCAATTTTTTGTTTTCTTGTAGTTCTTTACAAACTTAGATCTTGGTCAAAATTATATCTACAGCATGGGAACAAAATATTTAGCTGATGTTTTACGGCAAGATAAAGTGAGTTTTTTCATCTCTCTAATGAACATTCATGTGCCTTTTTGCGGACTTTCACCAAACTAAATCTTCATAGAAATGAAATTGACAATGACGGAGCCGAATATATCGCTAAAGTTCTCGAAGAGAACACAGTAAGTCATTTTATCTATCTTCGTCTTTTTTATGAACTCTACAAATGTGTCTGTTCCTCATAGACACTCACCGTACTTGATCTCGGCAACAACAAAATTGGTGAGATGGGAATAAAGCATCTGTCTGATGCTCTACGACATACAAAAGTAAGTCTCTTATTTGCACAAGTTAAGAGATCCCAGCGAAAGTTTTCATGTTCTCAAAAAAATACATGCTATTCAAAGAGAACGGAATTGATTGATTGACAATAAGCTTCGATAATGAGAGAAATCCGATTTATTTTCAGGATTATGTCTATTTGGTTAAAGAAATAAGTCAAACGATGTTGATAGATTGAACAAATAAAAAACTTAAGAAAAGAATAGTTAAACTGATTTCGTATTCACGTGCATCAGAACAAAAAGTTGCTATTGATACTATTAGTGTTTCATATTTCATAATTTTTCCTTATCCCATACCTCATCTCTTAATTTCTCTCATCTGCTATTATTTCATACAGACACTAACCAGACTAGATCTTCGCCAGAATGCAATTCGTGATAAAGGAGTAGAATATCTGGCTGATGTCTTACGACAGAACAATGTTAGTCTTTTCATATTTCTTTCTCTTCGATATATACGGGAACCCAAAACTTGCGCACGACGAAACTTGCGCACGTATAACTTGCGCACGAGATAAAAAAATATCATATTTACAAATATGAAATTAAATAATCTGATCAATCATTAACTATAATGACTAGACATAGTCTGTTTGATTATTTAATCTAATTAAAATGAGCTTATGCTCAGAACAAATGTGTCCTATATATGAGAGATGGTCATTCACATACGAAACATTTTATTGTTAATTCTTGTTGAATATGTTCACTTCTGTCGAATTCATTACTACTACAAAAGGTCCTCCGTTAATGGTATTGGATGGTTTCTCATATATTCAAGATCGTCAAACTGATACAAAAACTTATTGGCGTTGTGAAAATCATAAAACTTTTAATTGTCATTTTCGTATACATACATGTAATGAATCTGTTACTAAAACAATTATATTAGAAGAAGATTCGAATATTCATACAAAGATCGTTCAAACCAATGCTGGTGAACCAGTTAATAAAAAAAAGAAGTATCAATATCTTGATCAACGATTATTTAATCTTGTTTCTAATCCTCATCAAAACAATATTGATCAAATTAATGCTATAGCACATAATATTGTTCTATAATTTTTTTTCTTGCTTTTTTTACATACTTAATTGTTGTATTTATGATCTTGAAATGAATACAGCAATTTTGTTTCTTCTGTTATCTCTTTGTACTCTCACTGTCTTTCGAAGTATCAATAATAATTACTATGAATTTTCATCTCGTGCGCAAATGATCCGTGCGTAAGTTTCCGTGCGTAAGTTTCGTCGTGCGCAAATTTCCGTGCGTAAGTTTCCGTGCGCAAGTTTCCGTGCGCAAGTTTCGTCGTGCGCAAGTTTCGTAGACCCGAATTCATCATTGAAAACTTGAAATTTAAATTAATTAAGTTTTTGTAGTTTTCGAAAAACAAATATTTTTATTTCTTAACTTTAATTTCTTAACTTTAATGTTGACTGGAGTTTGAAACTTTAATAATACTTCAAAATTTTATTTGACTTATGATCACAAATGAGAAGTAGCCGTAAAAATACTTAGGGCAATCCAAAAGTAGCGGCAGTAGCACTTCAATTCCTTATAACAAGCTTCAAGAAACTTTCTATCTACGTAGCCTGATAGAGGAAAGAATGCTCTATTTTTCTATGCTATTTGATCATACTCCAACTAATATCATAATAATAAAATTTCGACAAGATCTGTGCCGTTATCCTCTGTGCTGGTTATAACAATACTCATTTTTTTAAAAATACAAATGAATTTTTTTCAAATAACTTTTGATAAAAACAAGATATAGAATTGCGGTTTTCACCATTGGAAAGAGGAGATGAAGATGCATCGAAACGTATATTCCATGATGTCTTGATATGTTTTTTGTAAGGTTTCCTATCGAGCTTTTTAAGAACAAACCTATCTAGCGAGTTGTTTATAGTAAAGTTTCAATTATCAAGGATAAATTCAAACAGCTAATCGAAGATCTAGAAAGTGCCGAAGGTTGAGATGAATAAAATGAAATGTAGTCGAGCCTCTAATACCATTTTCTAGCAAAGTCTGTGAAAAAAGCTCGCTTTTTCTGCTTTTTCCTATTCTCGTAAAAGAAAATTTCAGACAGTTAGAAAATTGAATAAAAAGACTTCAGAAATCAATATTAGAAAAACCTGTAATATACGATCCAATGCATCCTCATCTCCTCTTTCTAACGGTGAAAACTGCACTTTTCTATGAGGTGCCCATCAAAGGTTATTCAAAAAACACTCACTAGCAATCATGTAACCGTGACGCATGCGAACAAAAGAGATCTTATCGAAATTTTATTATTATGATATTAGTTGAAGTATGATCAAATAGCATAGAGAAATAGAGTAGGCATGCACCAGTCGAGTTAACTGGGTACCCATTCCGACTGAGTATATATATAACTGATCTATAATTGATTGAATCATCGGTATTTTTCTTTGTGTTAGGTAAGCACTAGCCCAGTTAACTGGGTATATATTTACATGATCTATGATTTATTGGAACATCGATAGTTTTTTTTGTGTTGGTACATTACAATTATCTAATTCTGATATCTTTAACATATTGATAAGAATTCAAATTTTGATCAAAGGAGATGTCAAATTACGGACTTGACGTCTCAAAAACTCTTGACCTAATTTTATTCTTCTGAGAATCCGCGGTGATTCTTGATTATTTTTCACAAGTTTATTTCGCACTTTCTCAGACCTCAATTTTTTCATACCTGGGGGTTCCCCCAGGGATCGACACAATTTTTTTATCATTTTTCTATTTCATGTCTTTACAGTTTCTTAGAACTCAGTGTGCTGATTCCAAATATCATATTTTTTTTTAAATTAGTCGGAAAATAAGAAACATCTGGAGCATTTTCTGAGAGTTCTAAAAACCAGTTTTAGACCTTAAGATCTATAAAAATCTTATTTATGTTCGACAAAAATAGGCTCATTTGACGCAGAAGTTTTTTCTCTATCTGGATCTATAAGAATATTCAAGATATTCAAATCTTTGTCTATCGATAAATGCCGAATATCGTCCCGATTGGGTCATATTGCTATAAAAAGTGTTTTTTTCTCTGAAGAATCTATCATTTATACGGGTGTATCAGCGAGATATTGTTACCGAATACGTAACTCAATGTGCTCTTTCTCATGATACTATTTTCAGCTTCAAACTCGACGTCTGATGAAGCACTTTTGTCCCAACTATTATGCTTGACACTCAATTTGTGTCTTTTTTGACTGATTATTCGACGGTTTTCGAACACAATATTTCATCTTTCACTTGAAACAAATATCATATTTGGAATCAGCACAAAAATCTGAGTCGATCTATATATATTTCAAATTATTTCTCCGACTTTTTTCCGGTCAAATTTTTACTCCTGGTCCCCCTCACGGATATGTAAAAAAATAAATTTAATCAAAAACTGATTTGGACTAGGTATGCACCAGTGTTAGTTAATTGGGTACGAGTCAGACTGGGTATATATTTAACTGATTTATTATTTATTGAATCATCGGTAGTTTTCTTTGTATTAGTATATTACAATTATCTAATTCTGGTATTCTTAACATATTGATAAGAATTCAAATTTTGACCAAATTTAGTATTCTTCTGTTATTAACGATCTAATTACCATATTACCACTAATTATCAAAATATACAAGTTTCTTATTTATTAATCATCTACTTCTGAAAGTATCATTGACGATTCGTCAATGACGAATAGTTTTCTCATATAATCGTCTTTTGTGATACTTTCTATCGCTGAGAATAGCTATTCAACATATTATATTTATTTTACTGTTTATCTAGTAATAAATTGGAAAGAAAGATTATTACTTATCATAACAACACTTAAAGAATTTAGATCGATTTTATACAAGTGCTGGAAAATTATAATTAATTCAGAGAGCCATTGTTTCTTGAATACTGATGAATACCAGTCATATAGTCTGTATCTATACTATTTTCAAATAGTACTAACACTTTCGTTCACAGGTCATGAAATGTTGGCCTTGGCAATTTGTCTCATACACTCAAAATAAGATCAGTTTGATTTCGTCGGAATCTTGTATTCAACAATCAAGGTCGGAATACGACTAGCAAATAGTAAAAGGCAGCACTTCGTGTTGCTTGTGTGCGATCATGATTTGAAAGACTTTGTTTACTTAAAATATATATGTAAAAAATAATTGTTCTCTCGAATTATAATTTATTTTTGATGCTACAGACGGCTTATGCTCAAATATTTGAAAAATTTACAAAAATTAAATATGGTCCAAAACGGAAGTACACTTAAGTGGGAACAAAGGAGCGCGGACTGCAATAATGATTCATATCTTATTTGTATCGTAGTTAATGACTAAAGATGAGAGAACAATAAAAAACAGAAATGAAAAAAACGCAGAACAAAAATACGAATACACATCAACTTTGCCCAAAGCTTGCCGATAAAGTAATTTTGCGACGTAGAAATAATTGGTCCACTTCATCTGTTCGTCATCATTTAATTAAAGTACATAAAAAGACAGAATTAATTTTAGAAAATGGACGGCAAAAACAAAATCTACCGAATATAAAACAAGAACGTAAAGAACAACTTCATAAACTATGTATTGAAGCAATTGTACAAGATAATCTACCATTTAATGCATTCAATGAAACTGATTTATCTAAACTACTAAAAGAAGTAGTACCAGGTAATATACAAATTTTTACTGCATGCTTGCGGTACAAAAAAAAACAGTTAATTTAAAAATTGAAATTAATCTGTATGAGGACCGTCATATAATTCTCGGTATCGTTGATCCAATTAGACTGACTTTTCATGCATTTTCTCTATCCATGACAAGCTATATTTTTCCTAGTCTGATCTAACTGTCTGTCATTTTTTTCGGTCTGTCTTTCGTAACTTGTATATTTTTTCAAATATCACTATTATGATAATACTCTAATGTATGCATAAGATTGTCTTTGTTAGAAGTAAAGAAAATAATATGAATATTTAAAAAGATAATAAGGTAAGTTATCTATCAAATTAATAATTTATGTATGTATATCTATATATATAAATCAAATAGAACTCAGACAGATACTGTAAATATCCATTTTTGGTTAAGAATACTCTGAATGAATTTAATAATCTAATTATAGAGAGCTTCATGGTAAATCAATTTTTGATAATGCAAGTATAAAATCGGCGAACAATGAGAATTAATTAACACATTGTGTAAAAGAATAATAAGAAAAAAAGAGTGACAAAGAAGCAATAACTTAAGAAACTAAATAAACTAGATCAATAAATGACAAAGAATAACGCTCTCACATTATATTATAAATTGTGAGATTTATCTATAATATATGATAAAAAATCGTTTGTTTCTTTCCAACAAGCATGCTATTTCAATGAAGTTTTTTAATAAATACATTTTCTCCTTAAAAAAGATTCTTGTTGAAAACTCATAGACGAAATTATAGGTAGACAGCTTATCTATTTAAACCGGCCAATCCAAACTAATCCATCGCGATAAAGAATCTGCTGCTGCTGCGCCGCAAATAGCTCCTGAACCTACCACAGCGTTGCTACGATGATTTTCGAAAAGTCTTTTAGAAATCTGTGTCAGTATTGCACTGAACTAGGACTGCTATTATGAATTCCTGACATGCACTTAGTCTTTGGGTGATACACTATGGATACACAAAGCTTGCGCAAATCCATGTAATTTTGTAGTGGCTTCAAAAGAAAAGCTGTCGCTGTCGTGATGGACGTCTCTAGGCTCATCTGACATATTGATATGATGCGCCTGACCTGAAGCACTCTTGAGATAACAGTCTCCGTCTGTCGGATGCAGATGATCCTAATAGCCAATTTGAACTTCTGATATACATCTTGTTCAGAATATTCAGATTATCACGGCGATAGAAGGTCTGCAGTGTGTAATACTAGGATATGTGTGAGCACGCATAAACGAGATTCTTTGAGAAAATCTAGAAAATGTGTATTGGATACATAATATCTCTATTTAAATGAATAATGATTCATTGCAAGAATGATTTTTTTAATGATGGTTGTTTCACATTTTAGGCTATCAACCTATTCGCCGTAATACAGTAGCTCGTCGTATTAAACGATTAAAACATCATCATCATTCAAAATTAATTGAATACTTGAGAACCGTTGAAACCATGTCTATCACAACAGATTTTTGGTCCAATAGAACCAATACTTCTTTTCTTGTATTAACAGTACATTACTGTACTAATGATCTTAATTAAAAATCAAAAATTCTTACTTTTTCTTCTTTCAATCAACGTCATACACCAGCACAAATAGCACATATTATTACATTCAAATTACGTAAATTACATATTCTACATAAAGTTAATCGTATTGTTTGCGATGGAGCAAAAACTACATCAAATGCAATTGATTCGATGAATACTAATTGTGAACGTATATGGTGCATCGCTCATAGACTGTACCTGGTTGTTACTAAAGGTCTTTGCCTTTGGTCAAAGAAATCGAAAAAACAAACTGATGTAACAGATCAAGGTGAGACAAAACGCATTATGAAATTATATCGTCAGGCTTCATGAAAGTTTTAGCAAAAAATATTGTAACAGATAGTCACTTAGTTCTCTATTTGTTTTTTATATTTAGTAGACAATATAAATTATTCTTAATATGAACATCAATTATCAGAGATTAGATGACTCCGTTTTCTTCACTTAAATAGAATAAAAACCTTATAGTTCCTTTAAAGATGTGCCCATAGCCTTTATAATTGTAATGTATTTCGTCCAGAGAAATAGGAAGACTACCTAAAGAAACAATTCGGCTAGTTCACCTATCAAAAAATGAAGCGCCTAATAGAAATATTTTGATCCATGACTACCTAATATAGAAAAAATAAGACAATCGATATTAATCGGCAGATTGACCAAATCCAAATTTCAGAAACAAGTAATCCTTTCGTTACAAGTCGAAAATTATTAGGACATTCTTTTGCATAAATATGAAGAAAAATCAGTCATTTTTTTGTTTGAGATGCGAAAGACGCGTTGAAACTTTTTTTCAGAACAAAGATGGAATTTTCACTTCACATTAGTACCTCTCTGTTCGCATGTTAGTTTGATAGTGGAGAAATCTCTTCGAGAAATACGCTGAGCGGAAATGGAAATAAGTTATCATATTTTACATCGTAATTCATCTTACAATCGTTCAATGAATTAATATAAATAAAATCGAAAAGAAAAATTAATTAATAAACTAATAGAAATCCGAAAAAATATAAATATCAGTTAGCTGTTGCGAGTGAGAATCAATTTTCTGTTCACTTGCAGCCCAATATTCATTTTCATCTTTAACTCTGTCCCAACTAAATAGTATTTCACTGTATTCTAGTTTTTCCCCACGAAAAATCTAAGTGACTGCCCTCAACTTCATAAAAGCTATACCTCACGAACAGTGCAATTCAATATTTTACTTTCGGGCGTGATGTTTTTATTGACATTATCGCAGACCTTTCGCTTCGACTTTAATTGCTCGTTTCGTAAACAAGTCAGTGAGAATAATGCGAAAAACGTCTGACTCAACGTCAACGAGAGAAAGTTGGTAACGAAAATCATTGTTTAACAACCAACCATAAAGAAATCAGAACAAGTACTTCCCTCTTCATCATTTTGACAAATGATTAGGAAGATAACAATTGTCGAAGTAACATGATCTTTCTTTACTGTCTCGATCTCTCTACGTTAAAAACTCAGTAAAATGGCTCAATTTTATTTTCACTGATCTTAACGAATAATGTGTCGCTGAAATCAAAGTAAAAACCTAAGAATCAGAACAATTTTTCAAACCGATCCCTGAAATCAGAAGATTTTCTCTCACAAGAAACATCTGGATATTCGAAGTCTTCTCATCAAATCGGACGAATCGCTAAGATTGTTAACCAGACAAGTCGATATTATGTATGTCATGATAGAACCGATAACAATTAGTATGCAGACATCTTCAGAAAAATATCTGCTTTCTTTTCAGTAATTGCCATAAGAAACAAAACAAGTGACTTATATAAAACTTGAAATTTTTTAACAGAATAATACCCATTTTTTGAAGACATTTGCCATTACTTTATCCTTATAAATTCTGTCACAATATATCTGATAAAACTGTCAACTCTAATAGTTATTTAATGAAGTATCAACTGTTTTTATGATGGTGTAATGTTTTTCTCCCGCCCTTCGTAAAACGTGTCACCTAAAGTTTGAAAAACATGTCGCTAATCTGGGTGAAACATTTACAATACGATAATCTTGAGCAGCATGCTTAAATAAATATTCTTGATATTTTTGATTTTGTAGGGCTCAATTCTTTAAACACTAACTTTGACAATCATCCTATGATCAATAAACATCGTGAAATGATACAAGAAAATCAAACAACAAATCAAAATGATTCACTTCATCAATCAGAAGAGAACAATCATGAAACAACAATACTGTTAAAAACGAAGTAGAAAATAATGATAACTATAATATGATATTAACAGATGATGATAATGATGAGGAAGAGGAACAGAGAGACGAGGAGGAGGAAAAAGAGAAAGAGAAAGTGAAAGAGGAGGAAGAGAATGAAGAAGTGGAAGATATTATTATTATTGGAAATATTATTGGTGAAGATGATGATCTATCAAATTTAATTGGACATGATATTTTCACCGATAGTTGGGAGCAGGATATTGAAGTGGATCCTGATGATCCAGCACTAACAAAAGAACAATATACCACTTTATTATTGATGATAAAATGTCGAAAATTAATATATTTAATAAAAAAATCTTCAATTTTTACTAGGTATATTACACAACACCGCAAATTGATGAAAAAAAACGTGATTTAACAAAAGATGTATGTACGAGGTGGAACTCTTCTTTTCTAATGATTCATGTGTTAATACAATTGAGTCCAATTATCGAAAAATTATTTGAAGATAAATATGATTTGAAGATCAAAACTTTTCAAATTCAAAACTTGAACAAACTCGAGATTACGAGTACTGAATGGTACTATTTGGATCAATTGAATCACGTTCTTAAAGGTTTTTATAATGCCACGATAACAATGTCTGGAAAAAACTATCCTACAATTGACACAGCATTTTTATGTTATTTAAATTGAAGAACTTCTTAATGAAGGACAAAAATGATAATTCCATTGTAAAGCGTTTAAAAAAACTATTAGCAACGAAGATGACAAAGTATTTTGAAGAAGATCGACATCAGCTAAACCTTTTAATAGTGAGTAGCACATAAACCTTATTGTTGCTGTTATTATAAAGCTTTATTAGAGACTGTAATCTTCACCAACACAAGTAATAAAAAAAACGTTAAAATATTATCTCTGACGTTTCAGGTAATTATGAATCCTACGAGTTTAAATATCAAATATATCTGAGCTAATACTACGGTCATCAATGAAATATAAGCATCTTAAATTCATTAGCTTCATAAATGCAACTAAAGAAAATAAACTCAAACGAAGATTTTAAAAAATTTTCTTTGAAACAAATTCAGACGTTTTTTTTATAAATGAATGCATTTTTCTTCTCAAGATAATGCATTTCATAGGTTTTTTGTACACTTTGCAACACATTCGAGATATGAAAAAGTATTTTTATTGATTATTAAGTAGACAAACGGTTGTTCACATTCATGCTAGACTAGAATGTTTTATACATCATTATGACACAAGCATAAGTGTGACAAATACTCTCTTTTTCGATTAAATAATCCGTAGTAGCAAAAATCTGTAATTCAGTTCCATGCTAGTTGTAAAGATTAAGTTACAGTCTTACATTCAAAGGACGATTTGAATAGAATACAAGACTAAAACGAGGCTCTTACAACTCGACGCCGGATAACTTACCTAATATCTTTTATAAGTCGCTCGGTTTTATGCGATCAAATGAGTGTTAGAACTATATTGATACAGGGAAAACTATGGGCAATGCACAAATTAGGTTCCCCATTTTTCATTATTTCTTAATAGAAATAAATAAATGATACAATTGAAAAATATTTTGTCGATACAAAGAAAACTAACTCATGATTAGAAAAGTTGTCGACATTTCAAAATTGCTTTTTCTTTTATTTTAGCTGCACAGTGTTTTCGATCCCAACTGTTTTTTTAGCTTTATCAGATGCTGATAAACGAGCTATAGAACACGAGATAAAAGAAATGTTAAAAAATGATGATTTAAGTTTCGATAATTTATCATTAACATTAGCAACATCACAATCTACATTTAGTTTATCTAATACAGCTGCCACCACAATCTCTTTTATAAGTACATTATCAATATCTGGACTCCGATTCGTCCTATATTTCCTATAATACCTATATTTTTGAAAACTCCTTTATTTTGTCCCATATTTCGATTAAAATTTCTATTTTACCTATATTTTATCAAAAAAATTAGGAAATGACCGGAAAGCTGTATCTTTTGCTATAATCTTTAGACGTTGAACAACGCATTTAGTGTGTGGTATCCATGCAAAAAAAATGTAACCAAAAAGTAACTTTTTAGTACTTTCAAAAGTTTGTTTTAAGCAGGTAAAGGTACTTATAAGTGATCCTTTTTAAGTACTTCTCCTACTTTTCGACTAAAAAGTACTATTAAGTACTTTGTAACGTGAAAAAAGTGTGAGAAAGTACTTTTCAAAGTGGAAAAGTATGAGAGAGTACTATAAAAAGTGAAAAATAGTAAGAAAAATTACTTTATTTTACTTTAATAATATTAAAAGTACTTAAAAGTGATTTTGGTTCACTTTTTTCTACATGGGTAGAGCCCTGCATCGGTTCCAAAATAACTCTCCGGAATTGATCAATTAATTATAGTTCGTTTCTTCATTTTTTGACGTTAATACATTATTCAAGTATTTATCTTGTAGAGAAATGTTTTCTCTTTGAAGTCATATACTTAGAAACATTCAATAATCATTCATATTGAAGAATTTTTTTTGACAAGCAATGATCCTAAACATGAAACCTGCAGTAACCGAAAAATATCGAAATGTTGTTTCTTAAAGAAATATTTTTCGACATGATGACCTATTATATGTTTCTAAATACATGATCTTAAAAGTATAAGATTTCTGTACAAGATGCATGTTTGAATAATCTATTAGTGTTAACAACGAAGAAACCTTCTGTGAATCTATGAATAGTTCCAGAAAATTATTTTCCAATCGATACAGGACTCTAACTGAGGGGACCACATCAAATTTTCGATAAAAAATTATTTTTATCGAAATGGTAGTTTTTGACATTGATTTCGAAAATAGTATTCATTTCTCTCGGAAGGTGAAAATATACCAAGATGAAAATGGTCCCTTTCTCACAACTTTTTGATAAAAGGTCTTAGTAGAGAATAGATTTTAGTGAAAACGATATGGATCTATAGAGCATGAGATGGCGTAGTTTTTTTTTATCATAACCATATTTAGCACTAATTTCACACTTGGATTCAATAACGTCTTACAGAAATATAAAAACTCACGAATAGTACATGTAAACGGTATTTTTGAGTTGATCCCATCCAATATAAATTCCATATAGCTTGAGAAGGAAGATGTTCAAAAAGACGAGTAATATGTAATTTTGTCGAGCGTGACAATCTATATCGATCTATGGCATTAGTTTTAAAATGCAAATAATAAGAGGGAAAAATTATAAAGATTATAATTATCATCTAAAATACTGAAAATCTATAAATGATTCACGGATCCCAACATTCAGTTGCCTTTGAAAAGTTTTTTGTGTTCAATAAAAGAAAAATATACAGAAATTTGCAGAATTTAAAGTTTTATTTTTCTGCCATGTTAAAAATGACAAGTAAAGGGTCGCGAATTTACGACCTTATCTAACTGTTCTCTTTATAATATGAAAAATAGTATTTATGGTTTTTTGCATTTGTTCATTTTTTCGAAGTTTATGACCTACTTTTTTTGTTACTTATTGATTTATGAGAAAATACTTATTAGTAAATGTTTCAATGGTGTTCGAAATAACTATTTATTTCTGTAGAAAAAGATCAGATAAAAATTCTGACGATGGTCGAGCTGTTCATGCTACATGTAGCTCCAGCAGAAAAAGTTTCGAGCAGAGAAATTAACAAAACCAGACGATTGAGCGGAAACAATGTATAGTAAATCCTCTATTTTTGCTGTTTTTTATCAAAAATCCTATATATTAGCCAAACTTGATCCTCTAAGGATTCCTAGTTTTTTTAAAATTCGCAATCGTAGGCCAGGTGTTATTTCTGTTATGCACTTTGACAAAAAAATTCGAATGTAAAGTAGAAATGATAGAGATTCTCTTATAAGTACTTAGCTCGACTTCTTAATATTAATAAGATGAAATAAGTATCAAAAGCTCTAAAAAATTGAACTTAAATAAACTCAAACCTATTTCATAAACAATCAATGCCAATCATCAATTTGAATTGATTTTGAGAGAGAAGTAATTGCAATAGTTCTTCATGTACTAGACTGTGCGCACAATTCATTAGGAAAAGCTACTGACGCACTAAAAAGCGTGACACCTACTATGAAAATATTTAAGTAAATGGTTGCTTTTTCACTATAAAATGTGTTGAAAGTTGTTGATTATATGAAACGCATCTGTTACTATAGTCTGTACCGAAAAAAATACGAATTTTCCTAGCAGAGTAACAACAGTAAAAATTATTTATTGTTGCACTACTATTAAATATGATTGATTCAAGAAAATCTGGCTTTCCGACCAAGCAGGAGAAGAGTTACAGATTAATAAAGTTATCGTAACACACAACCAGAAGGAAAAAGGATGGAGGCGTAGACAAATAAAATAAATGCTATGTATATAGTTTCCGAGAAGAATTCCAAACAAAAATGTATTTATACAGATTGCGCGATTAGCAGTGGATTTCCAAATGGTTTTGTACGCAATGTCGCCGCCGAATTAGACGTTTTGAACCAGACGACACAACGTTCCAATATTCGTTAAAATACATTACTTGTACTTAAACAATTGAGTGATTCTCAACGAGTTCAGCTGCCAAAAAAAAACAAGAAAAGTGTGATCAGCAGAGGAATCGTGGAATTATTGGATGTGCGTGTTACAGTCTTGCACAATGTTTGACGTCGGCTATTCTTTTATGTCGAATTCACTTGTTTGTTAGAAACGAGTCCTTCCCATGCAAGATAAAAGCTCTACAGATTCACTTATTAATGCTTTTTAGTACTTATTTCAGTATACTAGTACTTTGCAGCACTAGTAAGTTGAAGTAAGTGCCAAATATGCTGTTAAGTAGACTTGACAAAGATTTTCGTCTTTTGTTTTCATGGGTAGTGATCCTATACATATCAACAATAGTATAGAAACGAATGCTGTCTCTTTGGTTGTCACCAGAATATGTATCTGAAACCTGGAGCGTTAATAATAATGTAGAAGAACTGACTCAACTATTTAAAAAAGTTCGATTGCCATCCATCACCACACGCTTACCATGTGTGCTTACTCAGTATTCAAAGTTTAAAGTCAATGAATTACGTGTACTGCTTCTATTCGGTCATGTTATTTTTGCTAATATTCTTCCAAAAAAATATTACAACCATCTTCTTGAACTTGTGTATCTTCTTCACCTTGCTGAAAATTGGCGCATACTTAATTGTTATATTACTATTATACAGAAACTGGGTGAAAGTTTTGTTGTCTCCTTCTCTCACTTGTACACGAACCGTCATTGTGTTCAAGTCGTTCATTCTATCGCTCACATTGCTACTACTGTTTGTGACTTTGGACCATTGACTAATTATACGACATTTAATTTCGAGAATCAATTAGGCAGAATTTCACCATTTATTTTTCAATAATTTTTGTCGTTGTAGATTTACTTAAACGTGCATGCAAAAGTACTAGATGTATGTCATGCTGAAGAAATCATTCCACACCTGCAAATATTACAGTGTGCGCATCAGCATCTGAACGATCCAACGCTCGACATTTCTTTTAAACGTTTTCTATTATCTATCATCTATGTGAAAGAAAACGTCGACAAGAATTACATTTGCACATCTTGAAAAACAGAAAAAGGCGATCTATTTTCTATAACTCTTTTTTCTCAAAACAAGATTACTTTTTTCCATCGAATACAGACTGGCAACATCATGTTGTATACTTATCAAAGCGCCGTTTTCAAATCTGGTGATGATAGCATCATAGTATTTTGTATTCAAGACCAATTGCATATGGGGCGCATTCGATCAATATTCACTCTAGCCGAGACTGATACTACCTTCTGGCTGGTTGATTATCCAACAGCTGTTAACCATTTTACTTTTTCTGTCGAAAACAATGACGAGTTTAAATACTCATCGATTCAAAGTTGTTCCAAGAAGGATTTCTCTATTCGTCTTATACAAACTAATGATATTGTGAAAAAGTGTGTTTACTTCGAGCATAGCTCGTAAAGCTGACGCCTATCTCCTTTGTGTCTATTCCATTCTTACTAACATTTTTTATTTAAACAAATATTATTCTCTTCTCATCTAAAGCAATCACTTTTCATGAGTGAGAAAAAAGCTGTGGTTCAAGCGGTCCAATGTTTTAACCAAAAATAATCTACAAGTGTAAAAGCACTATTCACCATCTACATTGACAAATACAAATTAATATTATATATAAGATGGATAAACTAAAAATCCTATTGTAGCCACAGTATGCTACACGTGTGGCCTCCAAGTATGTAACACTATTACTCCTACGTTTCCAAAATACTTAAATACAACTGAAGCAGTACTTAATATTCAATATTTTAGACCGTTTCTCATCATCTACTGGTTGAAAATGAGTGACAACCATACTTACTTTTCTAAACGCAGGACTTACTATCAAGTACTTTTAAAAGAACTGTAAAGTACTTTTCATACTTTATGTGATAAAGAAGGACTTTTAAGTACTTCAAAAAGTGCCGAAAAGTACTTTTTATACGTTTTGTAATGTGAAGGTACTATTGGGTACTTCTATAAGTAGGAGAAAGTACTTTGTATACTTTATGTAATAGAAAAGTACTATTAAGTACTTCTATAGGTAGGAAAAAGTACTTTTTATACTTTGTATGGTAGCAAAGTACTATTAAGTACTTATTAAAATGAAAAAGTATGAGAAAGCACTTTAAAAAGTGAAAAATAGTAGGAAGAGTTATTTTATTTCACTTTTTCATATAAAAAGTACTTAAAAGTGTTTTTTTTCACTTTTTTTACATGGGATGTCGCGTAGTCTCTCGTTAAAATTATACTCCAAATGTTGCATAGCATCGTCTTGTAGTCGATCATGCCAAATTCAACATTGAA